GTGCTGTTCTCAGAGTTCATGTCATGGAGTATCCAGAACAATACACCAGACAGGTAGAGCACCATCACATCATCCAGCTAGCAATCTCAGCGAGAACTGGTCACCAGTGTGACAAACTAGGTGACTGGAAGGCACAGTGTCACTAAATTATGTCAATGCTAAACCAGAAAGAGACACTTAAGGTGCAGAGTTTATGTTGCCAAGCTTCGTGGAAGAAGTGTCTTTGGGAAGACTCTAACTGAGAAAAGGGACGATCACAGAAAGCAAAAGTGTGGCAAAAGGGAACTACTGCAGAAGATATGGGGAAAATGACAAGGGAAAGATAAAAAGGGATTTGGTAAAGCCAAGTGACTAAAATAGCAAGAACAACATTCTCCCATTTACTATTTTAAGAATTCACCCTGAGGCATAAATGTGGGAGAAAATGCATTAGCAAAAAAGTAAGAAATTGTGGAATTGAGAAGTGAAGCAGCACAGAGATCAAATGTTCAAATTCTTAGAAGCAACAGCAACCATGGTGGCCTTAAAATTTGCAGTGATTTTTCAATGTAAATATGTAGAAGCTGATGATCAAAATATGGTCTGTTCTATTCAATATATCCTCATGAATCCCTCTTGGAAACTATGTTGAAAGAAGCTAATAAATATCAGTGGCATACTTGAGGTTCAGTATCAGCCAAGTGTACTATAGCATGCTGAGTGTTCCTTTTGGGGACAAATTAGGGGGTAGGAGGTGGGAGCTTTCCATGTAACAACAGACTTCTTAGATGGCACTTTTCTTACTTGCTTTAGACATCTAGGATGTAGATACCTATTTTGTCGAAGCTCTTTAGAGTGCCCTTATAGTCAGTGTGAATAAACAGACATGCAAACTGACTTATGTTAGATGTCTTCTTTAAAAGGAGATTAATTGCTCCCTAAAAGTGCCACCTCTCCCCCATGACTGAGACCAGCCTGGGATAACTCCCTGTTTGCTGTATGGTGCTTCCATGTATCATATTCTGTGCTTCAGCCAAAAGAGGAGTTCCTCTCACTATGAGTCACACTTTCCCGGCAATGGTATGAACAGTGTTTCATTTCAAGTTGATAGTAATTCTCTTAACACAACCAGTGAATTATAAGTAACGTTTCATTTTCAAAAAAATGAAACTAGATGTGACTCAAGGATTGAGCTTGCAAGTTTTAATTTTTCACTGATAAAAAAGTTAGCAAGCATTAGAAATCTTTTGATTCCTACACTTCTAATATCTGCATTTCTAAATCAGAATAATTTGAATTAGGAAGGAACCATATAAGGTCTTTCTTGATATGTGTCAGATTTAAAACAGATAGGAGATCTCACAATTTCTCTGTCCACTAATGACAATTTGCAAACTCAAGTCTGGCAGCTGCTTTTATGTGCAAAGATTCTGCGTGCAGAAGGAGGTAAGTTTGTCCAAAAGAATGAGTTTCTGAGCCTCCGAATACTATCACAACTACTGATTAACTGGCAAGTCTTAGTTAACCTGAAATCACAGACACAGGGTCTGATTCATATATATACATATATTAGATGGACATAATACCTAATTCATAGTAACAGCTTTAAAGCAGATTTCAATGTAGATTACATAAGTGGCCCTTTATATTACAAATGCAGTGCCAAAGGACCCGTAAGTGAAGACTTGCATATGTTACATATGTAACAAAAAAGTCATTTAATTTAATCATAAAATAAATCATAATTGCAAAATTGCACTTTTTAGAAGTTACTGAGACTTTACAATTTTGCATCAAAAACTAACCTAAACCTATTTCATCAGATAGAGAAAAATATATGGAATTTTTCAATAACAAGCTACATTTCATTTATTAAAAAGTAGGAAGCATGTGGCTTAGTGTCAGGAAAATCCCTTCAGATTTTGTCATGTATACAAAAAACATGGCGATAGAGAAATAAACTATTTGCAAAGATTATGAGGTTATAAATCTAACTGAATTAATTTGCTACTCCATGCTTTCATTGCTTCTTATTGGACTTGAGTTACACTGTTTACATGCATGGCTGTGCATCTTAAATCCAGCAGAAATCAATATCCTGCTAATTAAATGGAATTTCTTGCATGTTTTTCATGGGCTTTGTCCAACATGTTCCATGATTTGTTTTGATTAGCTTCAGGTTTCCCAATTAAGTTTATGGTTGTGAAATGGGACCTACCAGTCTTTTGCTAGATATTTTATTTTATTACATTGAAAGTATAATCAATGATTATTTGATAATTAAATATTAATTAATTAATTCAAGATTAGTCTCCTGTCTTTCAGTATGATACACTTAAACAAGTATCACTATGGAAAGTATCATCTATATTCATACAGACTAAAGTCCTTCTAAACACAAGCAGCTGGACATAACAAGAAAAAAATAAAGGTTACAGAAGAAAATCAGTACGTCACATCTTATGGCATTGGGAATAATAGATTATTTTGAGTGTGTATCTCTCACTCATACCAGTTCTGTAACTGAAAGATTTTATTGACTAACAGGATGGAATTAAAACAGAATAAATTCTTGTTCAATAAGAAGTAACATTCCTG